TGCAAGACCATCTCTTACTCCCCTTTGTCTCCCTGTTGGATGTGCAAGGTGGTTCAGGTCTTCTAAGGTGTAAAACCCCTGATCTTACCAATGATATTAATTTTCACGCTGCTGTTTATCCTACTTCACACCAAGAACATTGATTGCTTTTTCTTGGGGGAAAAAAATGGAGCCATGGATCCACAAGTTCCCCTCAACAATCAGTTCCTGGCACTAAGTGCCCGTGCTGCCCCGGGCGGGGGTTATCCCCAACTGCAACAAAACAACTGTGCGGGGGAAAAAGCATGATAGCAAGGCAGTCACCAAATCACTGTTTCCGCAGCTATGCCTGGGAACTGCCACGTTGCCTTGTGTTCACAGGAGGGCAGTTGTGTCAGTTGAATTTAAGAAAAAAAATCATAAATTAATCTGAATTACAGTCTGGATTGATACACACACCCCAGGTACTACAGAAGAAAGACTCAAATGTATGGGTAAATCATGGGAAACTATTAAGCTGCTGTTAGGATCTAACAATTAAAAAACAATAATCAGAGATATTTCTCAGTGAAGAATCACCGCTGTTCAGCAAGAGTTTTGTAAAATCCCACCTAAATTACTGTGAACAGTTCTTACCACCAATGTCAGAGAAAGATGAGTTCAAACTAGAACAGGTGCAAAGAAATGCCAGTAAGATGAGCAGGGAATAGAAAAGCCATCTTACAATGGGGATCTTATTTTGTCAAGTTAAATGGCCACACTCTATAAATACACTAACAGGATGACACCATAGGAGGGAACCATTTAAACTAAAATATGAAGTTGTCACAAAGAACAGTTGTTGAGGTATTTTAAACGTTGAATAGGAACTTGCCATCATGATTGTTAAGGACCTGTATCAAAACAGAGGTTCTTCCTATTACAGATTAAGAATAATTTGAAGCTGAATACTTGCATCCACATCTCACAAGCGTAGATCTTTAGATCGCTTGACAGCTACTGCAAGTTGTCTGTCCTGATGATAAAAGTTAAATCCATGTTAAACATGGATGATCTCCAATCACCACAGCCATGTCAGAGGAATATTTGATACTTTATTTGAAGGGATAATTTTACTATATTACTGCGAGTATAGCCAGTCTATATCCCCAAAAGGTATGCTGCTATATCCTAAAAAAAAAATAAATATATATATATACCCCCCACAGACTTAATGTACGCACAGCTTGAACTGATAAAATCCTGTAGCAAGTGACTCCATTTCCACAAGCATGAAGTAGATTCTAGATGAAGTTAAGTTCAAACAGTTGACTGTGGGACAATGACATACGTTTCACCAAAATTCTTCTAGAAGCTTTCTAAAATAGGAGAGCACTACTCCCTTCTACCAAACTTGCAGAGTAATGTATTATTCTCAAACACGCAACGCATAGTTCTTCCAGTGTCACATTTCGCTCAATACGCTTGAGTTCCTCTCTCCTCCTTCAGGTTCCATATGACTTTTCTATTTATACCCTTAAAAATTAAACTGAAAATAAGAACAGAAAAATAACCTCTATAAACTCTGTCCCACAAGATCACTTTCAAGTTTGTTTTTAAAAAGCGTGCCTACACTTTTACCAACAGGCTTATGACACAAAATACTACCATCTTACTGCTCTTTTAATCGTAAGCTCACTCTACTCCCCGTTCACGGTCCTTATCTATGAGTTAGTGTAGTGATCCCACTGCATTGATTGAATTTGCTTATTCTTGTAGGCATTAGAATACAATAAAGAGAGATGAACTGAAATAGCCTTTCACTGACTGATTGTCAGCCGCCTCCTTTCCAGAATTCTTCAGCCATAAAGGCAGCTCTACTTTTTTACTGTACTTCACAAAACATGCATAAGGACAGATGATAATGCTACCAAGGACTAGCTACTATGATTTATTTTCCAAAATTCATGTTCCTAGTCTACTGACAACTCTAGCAAAAGCTTATAGAAGACATGAATAGAAATCAGTTTCAGGACTTAAGAGAGTTAACTAGAAACAAACCTAAGGCTAACAATGCAAAAAGCAAGTCTTACCACTTCCTCACCTGCATGGATGTGCTATTTCTAAAACCCAATCATATTTAGAAACTACTCTTAAAAAAAAAAAACAACCCAAACATACAAACAAAAAACAAACAGTATTTTACAACACATTGAAAAAAATAAGTCTTCTCAGCCTTGCACAGTTGACCTAAATTACCCCCACTATATACACCCCTCCTGGTACGGTAGCTGATGGTTGTGTGGGTTTCAAACCAAAGACAGCACTGTCTAAAAGAAAACACCATGTAATCAGAGATGATTATCTCATTTAAGTGTTGACACAAAATTACAACTCTGATTAGGAAAAAAACCCAAATATTTGTTCTATTTCCTGTAGAACTCCAGTTCAGAGACATAAAAGCATTTCACTTTGCTTCTAGCTTCACTCATGAAGTGATCACGCCTTCAAACACTCCTGTTAAAGGAAATTTTTAAGTTTTGGAATAACTGCTCTCTCCCAAAACATTTTAACTGAAGCTAAAGCTCTTCAAAGGAAAAGCAGGTTTGTACTAGAAACTCATCACCACCTATCACGTTTTCCCCCCTAAACTGAAAGACCATACATATTCAACAACTACACTGAGGAATTTCATTAATTCAAAAAGACATCATTTGCAATTTATTATATTAAGCTGACAGAAAACTAACAGTTACTCTTTCTAGTGATGTTTGTCTTCTCCAGACACAGGCTGCTTTCAGCAGTCGCACAGCGTCATGACCCAGAGGGAGTACCCTGGCCCTGCAGAGCTGAGCTCCTCTCAGCAGCTCTTTGGAAAGTCGTTTGACCTGCCAAGCCAACTCTGAGACAGTAGATGTGAACCCAACTGCAAGAACAGCAGTCCACGCTCAAAGCGTAGGCATTGCTGGCAGCAGATAGGCACATAAAAGTGTGGGGCTTTTTGCAGTTTAAAGCTAAAACAGCACTAAGCTTTGCCTGAGTCTTCAAAGCTAATCTACACACAGCATCCATCCTGCCATAACCAAGGTTACATTCTGTAACCACACTTTACATTACACCCAGCCTTTTCTCCACTGTAAACTCTGTTAAATCTACAGTGTTAGCTACTTCAGCATGAAAGGAAAGTCATGGACAAGTACAAATAGGGTATTTTCAACCTCACGTAACACAGTTTTGCAAAAAAAAAAAAAAAAAGTCTGTTTTGAGACCTATTAAGTATGAAGTGATAATGCACACTCACTATAAAACTTAGGAAAGACTTCTTAAAAGACTGATCAGCTACAAACCAAAACTAAAGACTCTTTAAATGTCTTTTGTAACAGTTATTTTGAATATAAAACAACCTAAAGAAATCCCTTTCATACTTGTTGCTCTCCCATCTTACCAGCAAACACCTGAGCAAACTCAGACTATACGCTTTAGTACTATTCTAACTTTATACAAATTAAGAGACAAGAGCACAAAGCTTCCAGGTCTTTTAAAGAAAAATTAACAATGTAAATATTGTTTCACCACTACTCGGATCAGAACAACTAACTTATAACTAGTTCTCGAGCTTCTAAATCTCAAGGAACTAGTGTAGACATCTAAACCACATTGTATGGGATCTTGACTTCAAAAAGCAGTCTGCTTTAATAACAAAGTACGGCCTATTTACTTAAATAGAGTAACTGTTTCTGTTTGCAGGAAAGAATACATAGAAGCAAAACAGGATTATTTTTTTTTTTCTTTTTTTCACATTATGAAATTTATTGTGTGTTTATCACATTCAAAAAGCATTGACCAGTGGGGTTTCTTGGTAACTCTTAGAATGCCAAGGTAAAGCTGGTATATTTGGAAGCTTAATTAGCACCTAACAGAGATTACCATAAACATGAAGAAAATTTGAACAGCCATGTATTTGACACTTTAGACTTCCAATAGTTCTGTGGGCGCCACAGAATAATTTAAAAAGTTAAAAAGAAACTGAATGCTTTGGAAACACCAGATGCTATCACAAACATATGAAAATTAATCTGAAGTTAAAAAGATTTTAAGGGTTTGACGATTAAATCCTTACCCCCATTTTCATGTCTGTTTAAAATCTAATTTCAGTCTAAGCTTCAGGTTTTTTTTACATCTGTCATGATTGCCTACATGGGCAATTACGGAAAAAACAGGATGAAAACTGCTTTGGGATGAACACTGAGAGATTCTTCACAAGGCACTGCAAGGCTGAAACAGGAGTGGGTTGGAAGAGAGACATGGTCAGATAAGGACCAAAACTAGAAGAAAAAAAATATAAAGTCAGTTGCATGAAAATGCCCCAACACTGAGCAAAAGACATGCAAGAAAAGCTGAAGTAACAGTGGAGAGTGGGTCTGATTAGGTTTTGATAGATGGAGAAAACTGAAAACATTTCCCCACTGTATAAGTGACATTATCCACGGTCTTTATTCAAATATATGGCACAAAACCTAATTAAGGGAAAAATTTGATAAACTTTACAGAAAGCCCTCTACAGAGCTAGTTTTGAAACAAAAGGGACAGATAATTGCATAATCTCAAAATTAAGACTGAAGTATACCAACAGTACTTTACATCAAGCAGTTATCTTTAAGAATGCGTGAAAAAGGACAATTGGCTTTTTTAAAGGGTGTCCTCTAAATACGGCATACATATGAAATACTCTAACATCCTGGGGTTTTTTCAAAGCTTTTTGAGAAACACACACAAATAATTCAGATTTAGTCAATTTTATTTACAGTTTGGTTTTTTACATTTCAGAGCATTACACAATTACATATTCTCATTTTCTGACCTGCAAACAGATACCTTAAACGGAAATATTAAAAAAAAAAATGAAGTTAGATACATCCAAAATGCAACAATTACACATCTGACAATTCACAAAGTGTAATTTACTAGGACGTATCCTAAGAATTTAGGAACAACCAGTCAGGAGAAAATCTGACCAATTTCAGCAATCAATTATTTACACATTCAAAACAAAGCCTCTCTTTATCTAAACCTCCAGGCAAACGGCCTGAAAGATTTCTTCAGGAAGAAAGACCAGAAGTTATGATACACACCTATGCAGCATTAACAGCCCTTGATCCCAAATACTGAGCAACTTCTCAGCTTTGTCTTAGAGCTACAGGCATCCCTCTCGGCTTCTCAAACCCTGAAGTGTTACATTTGTGCCCCCATGTGCATAGAAAGGCTGAGTGTTTAAGTGGTCACTACGATAAAACCCCATTTAATCTGGTCTTTAAGTCACATGAATTCTTCCTTAAAATTTTCAGCAAGTCTTCTAATGCCATTTAAACTGGCCATGTGGCTTGGGGCACACCTCCTCAACATGTTAAAGCATGCTTTGAACCAATTTGCACTGGCCAGACTAAATACATTAGAGACTCTTTAAAATAATCTTTAAAGACCATTTAGACAAGGCTTACATATCTACACTTCCCTGATGGGCCACCTAAAAAAGAAAAAGTCACAGCTACTACTTTCATCCCTTGTGTTAACCCTTTGCCACACAGCAACTAGTTATATACTGGGTAGAAACTACTAAAAAATTCCCTGCAAATAAGCTGCCTTTCAGCTGAGGCTATGGCTCCTATGCATTGGGTGTTTGAGGAGGTTTTTTTCTTTAAAAAAAAATTCTCATGTGAAAAATACTCAAGTTCTCACTTTAGGCTAATTTTGATTGCATGTTCAATTTGTTTAACTGTCAAGAAACCGCTACAAATGGAACAATTTTCATATAAAAAGAGCAGTCAACCGAGTGCAACTTCTGACTTGGCAAGTCCTTCATGGTAGTTGTCTAACTAGGCTATGAATTTTGTGGAGCCTCCAGATTTCTTGCCTACCTTACTGTCCATGTTCACGTTTCAAACTGTGTCAGCAGGGCCCGAACTTCGGGAGTCAGCTGCTTAGCAGCCTTAGCTGCCTCTGTGACGGCCTTGCGGTAAAGACCCTTTCTCTTCTTATTAAAGCGCAACTGGAAGCTTTCTAAAAAGGGGGATAGTTGTGCAAGAGCAAGAAAAGATGTTGTTGTGGAGCCAAACCATGAGATACGAGCCTCCTGTCGAACTAAAAGGCCATTATCTTTCCGGCTCACAGTTATGGTTAGAATACGGGCTGGCCACCAAGGGAAGCCATAAATCTTGGCCCAAACAATGTCCCCTACACATACGGTCCTGCCATCTGGTGTGACACACTTAGAGACGTTTTTGGAAAAGACTTCCGTTTTCAAGGAATTACTGAGCTTTTTCTCTTCCTTCGAAGAGGAGGAGGAGGAGGAAGGTGCATGCATGCTGCCTGGAGGAAAATCAAAGCTTTCAGTAGAGCTACACTCAGAGTTGGTAGATTTCAAATCATCTGTGCTATCACTACTACAAACTGATGCACTGGAAGAGTCAGATTTCTTTTGATTAAGGGTCATGTAAACCGTTATATTGCTTTTGCTGCCTCTCTTGCCCAATGTCTGGTGTTCATCCTGATCAACAGTTACATGCACTTCACTTGTGTCCTGAACCTCACTGCTGGCCTCTTCAGGGCCTTTTGAGGGGCTCTGATTTTCTGAAGGGGCCTCACCTGCTGAGCGGGTGGAGGAGCAGCGAGACTGGGGCTTAGTTGCCATCTTGCCACTCCGTATTTTCTCAAGTCCTGTCTTGAGAGAAGAGTCATTTTCTTCATTCCGATACCTTTGTGGCTTTAAACGCAATCGGGGTGGGAGGGAACCTGAGCTGGTGTTCTGAAGACGCCGTGTGAAGTGGACCTTTGAATGTGCATTTTTGGAAGAGGAGGTTGCACTCTGCTTCTTTTGTGCCTTTTCTTTGGCCATTTTCAAGACTTCCCGAGCTTTTGCATGATCCATGTTTTTGCTCTGGAGAACTTTTTTTGTATTTAACTGCGCTTTTGAAGTATTCGCTTGTGCGGAAACTTTAACTACTCTGCTTCTGCTGTGGGCAATATTTGAAACCTTGACCACAGCATTCCTTTTCTGGCTTTCATTTTGGCTTTTTCCATCCACTTTATGGTCAGTCTTAAGTTTTTTATTCACAGTAGTCACACTCTCATTTCTTCGTTTTTTATTATCCTCATATTTTGAAGAGTCACTTGCATTGCCACCTTTTTTTATTTCCTTTTTTTCTGCAACAACACTGTTTTTGCACTTGTCACATAAGACCTGCCGGGGTCGTAGTTTGATAGCATTCATGATAGAAGTGGGTTCCTCCCTGTACATTTTACGCTTGGGCCGTTTAATTTTCCGGGGTGGAGGCTGAGGTATTGACTGGTTATACGTGTCCCTGATAAACAAAGGAGGAGGATATGGCGCTCCCTCATGAAAGAGAGGAGGTGGCTTAGAAGTCCATAGGCTTTTAGCTATGCTAGGTTCTGATGGCTGCGTGAGAGAAGAGTCATCAGGGACCGCAGCATTTGATTCACACTTCATCTGTGCCTCATCTTGGAATGGTTTACTTTGGAGCTGCATGGCTTCGGGTTTATCCTTGTATTCCCTTTTAGGAAATATGGTCACAGGGATTCCATGGGGTCCAAACCTTAAAGAGAAATAAATAAATAAACATTAAAGCTTCTGAGGGATCTTTTGCTGCATTTATTAAAAAGCATTTGACAACCTGCCCACATCTTGTAGCCACCTTCTGAAAGACATGAGTCTTGGGAAAATTAAAGCTTCATATCTAGCCTTATGATATGCTCTGAAAAAGCAGGACACCAAAACCAAGTCAGAGAACGTGAAATACACAGCTTCGCTTATTTTCAGTTTCTCTTGCATCAACTAGATGCCCTGAAAATGTAACCAACAATATCACCTAGAGACAGCAGTAAAATAATTAACTTTGTACTTTTAGAAAATGCTTATAAAAATAAAAACTACACACTCATACCACCAAGTCCAAGTCTACCCAAGATTAATTTCCATACTAAGTCAACTTATGTGAAGAAGGCATCTTCAGTAACATTTTTAGGATAGCACAAAATGCCAAACGTTTCAGATTTTACCAAGGCAAATACAGACTGCATAAATACTTCTATTGAACAGGGAGTGCCATCATTCTTCATCCACAAAAGATTAGCACTTGATCATCTGGTGCATTACAGCCTAAGACTTGCTAGCCTAGTAGTTTGAGTTTTTTTCCAACAAAGCTACCCTTATTTCACCACAGTACAAACCATCCCCCCGTTTTGTGATCAAACAACATTTTAAACCTTTGCCTGCTCTAGATCTCTGCTGCCCCATTTGGCACACACAGGACTTCTCACCAGCCTGACCAGCTCTGAGAGAACAGAATGAAAAATCCCAGTATGACTTTGGCACCAGCTCAACTTCCCTGCCTTAAGAGAAGCAGCATGCTGCCCAACAGGCATCCAATACTTTCTCCAAAGGGTTGTGCGAAAGGAAACATTTTATCAGTTTGCAGGGCATTATGCTTGCCTTCTCCAGAGGGGAAACCAAGTGATAAATGCATTCATTTTTCAACAATGTATCCTTCCATTGGCAGGAAGAGGGCAGGAGTGATTGTAGAAGCCTGTTTAACTTTCCTTCTGTCCCACCTCACACCCTGCCGGCAGAGGCACCAGCCTTTCGGAGCTGTCCCTAGGCTGGCCACCGCTCTGGAGCTCTGCCCGATACCAGCTCACACACACACCAGCCTATGGCTTCCACTAGATGGTATTTTAACAGTTGGACCTTCATTCAGTGACAACATGATAGACAAGGTTGCAATTCAAATGCCAAATCACCCATTTTGAATCACTAAACAAACACCATTGATGCTTATCCCATCCCATACCCCACCTGATAGGAGAATGAAGTAATTACCCAACATTAGTCCTCAGGTTGAGGCTAGTTCATGTACTGCAGCTGCTCAACTGCGACATCCTCTTAACTGACTGAACTGAAGTTTATTTACAATCTATGGTTGCCTCTCAACTGAAGGTAAATGCTGAATACTGGCCTGTTTTCCATTCACGCTCCTGCGAGAAACATGCAGTTCACACAAGCGCCTACATGTTGACTTTATTCCTTCAAAATTGGTTTTGAAAAAGTCTCATATGTGTTAGAAGACTCTTTACAGTCACCGACACAAGCTGTCTCTTGTTTGTCCTTTTGCTTATCTGTTAAAACATCTTTTTATGCTTAAAAATTGCAAGTGAAGAAAGGAAGCAACCCATCCAAGATGTCCAGTTTGCACTTCATTACAAAAGGAGAACAGAAAAAGCAGAAATAGTCTCCAGAATCAGAGACTCCACCACCTCTCTGGGCAGCCTGTGCCAGTGCTCTGCCATCCTCTGGTCCCATCCTCCTGGCACCCCCCTTAAAGTATTTATAAGCATTGATAAGATTCCCCCTCAGTCTTCTCTTCTCCAGACTAAAAAGACCCGAGTCCCTCAGTCTTTCCTCAGAAGAAAGATGTTCCAGTCCCCTAATCATCTCATACCTTTGAACTCTGGAGACAGAGGTAGGAGCCCAGGTGGGCAGCTAGAGCAGTTCTGCCCTTATCCATGGGATGACAAATGCTCTTTACCACAAAAGTTTATTTCAGAGGTTTGGGCCCACTCCAGTTAACTCCACATACCGCCAAGAAATGAACAGTACCTAAATGCAGTCTACTACATTAGTGAAGGCTACAGTGAATTATAAACATTTAGCAGCCTATACAGGCATTTCTCCAGCCTACAGTCTGGCATTAAACCACAAAGGACTCGATTATAACTAAGTTTTAAGTTCCTTAAACTCCAAGAAATCCACCAAGTGTAAAGAAGTTGCTTTTCCACAAACATTTTTCCTTCCACTAAGGAGTATAAATAAGTTATTCAATTCCAAGTAGCACTTTAAAAGAAATTATCATCTGATAACAGTTAAATTAGCAATATTTCCATTGTACTTGCATCAAGAACATCAGCTTGTTTAACAGCGATAAGATCCAGATCCCATCTTTCACTACCTGATAAAGACTACAGGATTTGGGAAAAAGTTACATTTACTATAAGAGTTGAGAACCAGAACTCCCAGACAGGACAAGATCTCTGCTGTGCAAATCTTAACCCCAGACAAATCCACAAATGTAGAACTAGACAGGAGTGTGATATCGAATGGGCAAAATCCATGCAGAAGAACATCCTTTACAACTCTCCCCGCTGTCTCAGGAACTGCATTCCCTAGCCCCTCACAAGACATTGCCACAGTCCAAATCATAAGCTTCTCTTCTAGAATGCATTTATGCTGACTCCGTTAGGAAATCGAGCACTATTAGCAGTGACCAGGAAAGAAGTGGATGAAGAGGACTGCAACGAAGTTCTCCAGAAGCATGCCATGCAAGTACTTCATCTCTCTTTTCCTAGATTTTTGTTCTAGTGCCTCACAAACAAAGTCAGCGTGATTAGCACTCAAAATGCATAAAAAAGCTTAATGGAAAGCTCAACATATGACCGATACCATGAAAGCACTGAAGATTAATATTGCACCTCAGGCTATCCTTCCTTTCAAGCATGTGCATAATACACAGGCCAAACAGCTGAAGAACAGTACAGATGAAGTGGAATTTTAATCTAAGATGCAAACCGCTTCAGTAAGACACAAACCCAATCCAGACTGAATGGTTGAAGCTGAAGTCTGTCTCACAAAAGACACTGTTTTAACAAATGAACTAGAATCCCATGTCCCTGTCTACCTAAAAATTAATGAATTGCAGAATTAGAGAACATTCAGGGATACTGTCTAGTGCCAGTTATGCAAGAGCAAATGAAGACATGATTGCTGTAAACAATGTGTCAATACATAAAGACATGGCTTGTCCACTTCAAGTACAAAATAAATTTGGTAAGCCCAGAGACAGAATATTTCTTTCAATGGCTGAATGTATGGTGTCTTCTCTTTGGCCCCATCCAATAGCAGGTTGCGCCCATAAAAATTCAGTTTTTATATGATCTTTGTTTCCTCCTTGGTGAACAAAGTTCTCCAGCTGTGCAACTTGGAAGAATGATATGACAATTAAGAAGAGAGAACAATGGCAGAAAAACTTAGAAATGGAACAGTAAATGATACAGGAGAGAATGAAGACGAAGAACAAGGTAAGAAGAGAGTAAAGGCAAAATGGAATGGCATGTTTTTCTTAAGGAGAAGCAGAATGAAGATGTGATCTTAACAGACCTATTCAAGACAAGGCATGACACAGCATCTAATTACTTTAACAGTGAACATAAAAGTATTTATTACATAGACTAGATTTTCAATCCCTATTTTCATACGTCTAGTTAGTGGACCTTGAAGACAAGTGCTTCTCATAATTGCAATAGTAATTTTTATTACATCAACTATGCATTTAACATAGCTAGGAGTGCCACGTGTACGTATGTTAGACTTAAAAGCCGTGAGAGCTAACATTTGGGTAATCTGCTACAGAGATGAAAATGGACTAAAAGGCTACCATGTAAAAAAAGGTTAAAAAAATCCAAGCAACATAACTTAGGTGTATCATGACATTTCTTGAACTACACGTCAGTCAGTGACTGGGCAGTAGAAGGTCACCTCTTAAAAGAAAGCATTTCAGTTATGCTACATCAGTGAGATTACCTACGTATTTCATTTGTCACGTGTTGCATGTTTAAGTACCACAAGGAATTGCCTTGTCTTTATTCTAACAAACTACATTTTTTGGATATATTGATCTCGCTATCACCTGTCCCCAGTATAATATTACTTTCCTCCAGAAAAGGCTATTCTTGGAAAGATATGCTCCAATTACTGTTTGCTTAAAAAAAAATAAAATTCCATTTGTGCATAAGTTCCGGCTGTTCATTGTACAGCCCACTCATGCATAACATACATAATTCTACCTCAGACTATCACTTGAAGGAATAGAAGGATTTGTTGATGGGGGATCTAAAATTGAACTATTAGAAAATCTACAGTAAGAAGTAAGTATTTCAACCTAATTTAAGGCAATTCTGGAAAGCGGTGCACTACTGCTTCATACCTATTCAAAATTAGAACCAGTTTTCCATGTTGCCAGCTTCCTCTCCTGTAAAGATGTCCTGGCTCTTTTGTGCTTTGAAAAGGCACCTCTAAAAAAGAAGATGGTTGAGACCCATCGTAAGAAACTTATCTGCAAGACGTTTTACAAGTAACTAGAGCAATCAGTAGGATCTAATCATATTTCTGCTATGCATATCACTTCAATATACATATGTATTAAAGACAAATATAGCAACAGGAATATCAGGAACTATATTTAAATAAGAGACTAATGCGTTAGATGAGATCAATTCCAGCAGTCCAGTGATCTTTACACTGAGAAGGCAGGGTATGCAGAGACAGAAATATGATAGAAACAGTCAGGTTTTATTTCAACAGCTTGTTAATTGCAAGGTAATGAATAGGTAGCCATGGTATCTTTTGAAATTATGTAAAAGCTAGTTTGGGTATCAAACCTAGAAGCCTGTCACCTAAAGCCATGCGCATTTGTATTACAGATACGTAAACTTAAGTACTTCCAAGCAAAGTAAAAACACTTTTTTCAAATCTAAATTCTCCAGC